GGCCTGGAAGGCATGCTCCTCTTCTGACCAAGAGTGCACGTGGCCAGACCTGCTCCAACAGCCATCAGCATGCCCCAGCATGCCTGGGCAGTGCCGTCCTCCCTCCCCGGCCTGCCAAGCCCCAGCAAGACGGCCTGGCCCAGACCTGCTGCGGCCCGGCACAGCCCAAGGTGGGGTACTGGGGCCTCACATGGGGGCATGGGAGAAGGCCACAGAGGCCACACTGCCAGACCTCCCCAGTAATGACCCCCCCCATAACTGAGCCCCCCAGGGAAGGAGGGGCCCCCTCAGGATTCTCAAATGCCACTTCCTGTTGGAGGTCACCGGCCGGTTTGCCCCATGCCGTCAGCCGTGACCTGGTATCCACAGCCATCACCCCAGCCCAGAAGCCGAGCTCCTTCCTGATGGGGGGCGCACTACGCGCTGACAAGGAACTTTAAAGGGTGATGGGTCACCTAAGTGCTGGGCTCCCCCACATGCATTTCTTTCCACGAAGATTCTCCTGGGTCATCTAGACAGTTGGGGTCCCCGAGATGCCCCAAACTTGGTCCTCAGAACCAGTCACCAGAACTCAGGCCCAAGAGCAAGTCAGCATAGCCTCACCGGCCCCAGCTGGTTTCCTGACACCCCCAGCCCCCCCAGGCATGGCCCACATTCTGCTATGCTTCTGGTCACTGTGACCGGATGTCTGGAGGAACTGAGGACCCTGGCGACCGGTGCGTGGGGGCACCCCCCAAGCCACCAAGCAAAGAGCCCACCCCTGAACATCAGGAAGCCCATGCTCCTGGGCAGTCCCTGCATGAGAGGGTCCAGGTTGGGAATGATCCCGCTTGCCGGGCCCCACCTCCGGACATTGCAGGGTGCATTTGGCAGAGTGGTGGTTTCTTGAGCCCATCTCTTGAAATATAAGATTAAACCAGCAAGCCGAGACCTAGAAGAGCAGCCAGGCAGAACCCCTGTGCCCTCCAAGGTCCCCGTGCTGAGAACCTCCCAGGCCCCAGGGCCAGATAGACCCCAGGACACGTGGAGAGCTCTGAGGAATGCCAGGCCCACCGATGCTGAAAGAGGGTAAGGGTCATCTGAACTGTGATCCCTCAAAGCAAGGGGGCCTGCCCCAGAGCTGGCGTCCTGGGCCCTCCTTAGCGAGAGAGAACGCCTCTCCGTGCGTGAAAGCCACCCGAGAGGGAGAGGGCTCAGATAGGCGCCTGGTGGTGTAGTGATTAAGCAGTGGGCTGCTAACTGCAAGGTCATCAGTTCGAAGTCAACAGCTGGCTTTAACACACAGAAGTGAGGCGGGGCTTTCTCGGCTGGTGAAGTGTTCCAGGCTGGGAAGCCCACAGGGGTGGTTCTCCTGCCCGGAGGGAGGGTCACTATGAATTGGAGTGGAGCCGATGGCAGTGGGACGGGTTTTAGGCCCAGGCCCGTGTTCGTAAGGAGCTGGCTTCCTTCCGCACAGCAGAGGAAGGTACACAGGCCCAGCGGTGAAGCCCTTGCTGCTGAGAGCTGGCGGGTCCAGCCCGCCGCGCGGTGGCAGCGCCACAGTAGAAAGGCCTGTTGACCAGATCCCATCAAGATGACGCCTGGGAGGTCCCTGGGGCAGCCCCCTCCCCGTGGTGGGGGGGCCGGGGGGGTAGGTGGGCACGGGGATTGATCTGAGGGGCCGACAACAGTGTTACCATCCGTGCTTATATCTCTCTGTGTGCTGACTGGCCATTCAGAAACAGCTGGCACCTGCCCTAACACAGAACACACGGGAAATGGCATCCCATCCGGTCGGGCCCCACATGTCACCTGAACACGTTCCTGGGGGCCCGGGCCTGCCCCTGCCTGGCCTCAGTCTCCCCCACTGTGGGTACAGGGAGGGCACTGTGCCCGTCGCCTGCTGGACCCCATGCTGGGAGGGAGCAGGTGCCCACCCAGCTGCCCCTGCTCATCCTCTGAGCTACCCGCATCCCGCCTTGGCCCTCAGGAGCCACACAGCCCAGGGCCCCTCCCAGAGGGGCTGGGGCTCTCACCACACAGGGTTCCCCTTGGCCCCATCGACCACTCGCATGAGGACACGCTCCACCTGACCTGGAACTTCCCGCCCCACCCGCGCTCCTCCCACCTGACTTCTCCGTCCAGCTCAGCCCCGCCCCGCGCTCCTCCCACCTGACCTCTCCGTCCAGCTCAGCCCCGCCCCACAGGCCTTCCCTGAGGCCTCGCAGAGAGCTTGTGAGATGACCAGCCTGCAGAGTGCTCCCGTGGGCCCCTCAGCTCCGTGCCCTGCCCTCCCCGCCGGAGCCCACATCACCAGAACAATACCAGGCAGTGGCCCAGTAGCCAGCCCACCTGAGTGCTCCTGACACGTGCCCCCTTCAGAGACACCCCTCCCACCTCAGCGCACAGAGAGGCGGTGTCTGCGGGGAGCGGTAGGCTTGCTGGGACTGGGGCAGTGGCTGTCAGTGCCGTGGTGGTCCCGACAGCAGGGGCTCACGCCCTGTCCCTGTCACACGGGACTTTCTCACACTCAGCACACTGCAGTCTACAGCAACACAGCTTGGATAGGCCCTAAATCCAAACCCAAGCTGTCACCATGGGGCAGGGTAGAACCCCCCCCCCCCCGTGGGCATCAGAGGCTGTCAGTCTCAGGGGGGGTGGGCAGAGGGCCTCATCTTCCTCCCCACCCCAGAACAGCGGGCAGGTTCCAGCCCAACGCCTAACCCCTTGCTCACTCCACCAGGGCTCACTCGCCTTTGTCCACAAAACCAAACTCAAATCCCTTCCACTCACCGTGCCCCCGTGGGCAGCGGGGAACTGGCCCTGTGGGGGCCTGAGACCCGCGGGTGCCTCCCGACTAGAGCAGACAGCCTCCTCTTTCTCCCGGTGGGAGTGCGGGGGTTCAAACTGCTGGCTTTAGGGTTGGCATCCAATTTGAAACCCACTACGCTCTTTGTCCATAAGTAACCCCTAAAACAAGTACCTCCCAAAACTCAAGGACGGCTGACAAAAGTTTATGGAAAATGGAGACAAAAAATGATGGAATCTGCCCTCATTTCCCATACGCCTCTCTGGTCCAAGTGGGACTATCACAGATTTGCTTTATGGAAGGGGGCTGGGGGGAGACGTTGCAGATTCAGGCCCATACAGAGGCATCTCAGCAGAAAGGCCTGGCAATACACTTCAGAATGCCCTGTGGGCGTAGTTTGGCCCTGCCCACTCAGCCTTGCATGCTCAGCCCTGCCCTCTCGGCCCTACCCGCTCGGCCCTGCCCGCTATGCCCTGCCCGCTCAGCCCTGCATACTTTGGCCTGCACGAACTTTGAAGCAGACCCATTGATGAACAGGAAGGTCGCACGTGGGTGCCTGACTGTCAGGTGGTCGGGAGCACATCGCACATTCTCCGTCTGTGGTCAGGGACAGGTGTTCTCTTCTTGCACACAGAGCCAGGCTCACAGAGATGCTCACTCATGTCCACTGACCTCAGGTGGAGCCCGAGAACAAACAGCTCTCTTTCCCTGGTGCTGACCCAGTAAAGGATCACTCGGGCCTTCCCAGTGAGCTGTGAGGTGGAGGGAGGGCTGGCCCACCCGTGGCTGACCAACTTTCAGAGGGGGCCTGGCAAGGTGGACTTCAGCATCAACAAGCCAAGGCGCCCTGTGAGTTACCAATGGGCAACACCCTCATCGTCCACATGCAGGACCACCTCCACCCAGGGGGTGCCCTGGGACAAACCCAGAAGTTTCCAGAGCACCTGGCGCCCCTTGGATCCACAGCTCCTTTTAAATCCATCAGGGGAGTCGTGGTGTACTGTGGGTTAGGTATGCAGCTGCTGTCTGCCAGGTGTGCAGTTCAAGCCCACCAGCCGCTCTAAAGGGCAAAGGGAGGCTGTGTGCTCCAGGAGGCTTGGCAGCCTCAGACGCACCCTGCAGGGTCACCTGAGTCCCACCAGACTCACAGGCACTGAGCGGTCTGGTCTGGGGGATGGCGCTGTCCCTGGGAATGAGGGCGAGTCCCATTGCACAGCTCACTGAACCCAGATGTCTGGGGGCCGCGTTCACAGGGCAGCCAAGCCGCCACACCAGCCTGGACCACGAGCCTTGCTCTGTGGAGGGCCAACCTGCTCATGTGGGCCGCCATGCTCTGTGGACAAGGCAGGACGGGGCAGTCCCATCCTAGGCTGCCCTGCCCCACATGCAGGCCCCGTGGGAGGGTTTGGGGAGTCATCCTGCCAGTTCTACCAGACGGTCTGTGCAGTCACATCAAGGAGAGTGTGGTTCTGGGGTCCCAGGGCAGGGAGCTGGGCCACACGCCTTCTGCACAGAATGAAGCCAGGCGCCCGCACTCGAAACTGCACATGTACAGAGAGGAGGGACACCTTCCAGGTCCCAAGACAACTGTGCTCACTGGCCGGTCAGTGTCTGTTTCCCAGACGCCAACCGGCAGGCCTCTAAACTAACAGACTCACCACCACCGAGTCGATGCCGCCTCTCAGGGACCTGACAGGGCAGGGGAGAGCCGCCCTGTGGGTTTCCCAGATGGTCCCTCTTCACGGGAGTGGAAAGCCTCGTCTTTCTCCCGCAGAGCAGCTGGTGGTTTCAAACTGTTGACCTTGCCATTGGCTACCCCAGGAGCCCCACCAGGGCTCCTCTGGACAGTCCAGATCACCAGCCTTCATGTAGTAGTGGAGTGCGTTAGACAGATAAAACCCACAGGCAGGGGCCAAGCTCCCTCCACCTGCACATACCTGTGAGCCTCCCAAGGGTTTCCCAAGCCGGGCTGGTGGGTTGTAGAGGAGGCAGCCTACTAAAGTCCTTTGGAGAACAGAACTCGATGCAGGCGGCCCTTCCCGTCTGGTCTTGTGGGGACTGGTAAGAAGGGGTGTTGACTGCTGGTGCATTCAGTCCTGGGTCCCTGACGCGGCCGGCTGGCACCTCACAGGGCTATCTTCCCGAGTGAGAAGTCGCACTCTGACAGGCCTCATGTGAACCCACTCCTCTTGGCTTGTGTCTTGCAGCTTCTGCAGAGGTGTCCGTCTGTGCGCCATGGGGAACCACCTGGGCAAGAAAGAGTCTCATTCTGACAGGGCCAGTCAGGTAAGGAGCGGGCCCACCCCATCCTCCGAAGCTCACCCCCCCACACATGTGTGCCTCATGAGACACCAAACCCTCCCGCCAGTGGAGTTCCAGTCAGTTCTTTCCTGGCCAGTGGTGGGAAGCTGAGCCTTTGGACTGACCGGTCCTGGCATTTTGCATGTTGATAGGCCTGAGGAAGGAGTGCTGATAGACAGTGGGTTTAGGCACTGGCTGCTAACTGCAAAGTCGGTGGTTCAAACCCACCAGCCACTCCATGGGAGAAAGAAGGGGCTCTGTGCTCTAGTAAAGATTAACAGCCTTGCAACCCCGAAGAGCAGTTTTACTCTTCCATGCTGGGTCATGAAGAGTCGGAATCCACGTGGCAGCAGTGGTCATGAGCCCTGAGGTTCTCTGGTGGCCCCGTGGTTAAGCGCTGTGGGTTGAAGCCACCTGGAGAAAGACGTGTCGGTGGGCATCCCAAAGATGACAGTGTGGGAGCCCAGGTGCGGCCGGTCCATCCCGTCCTCCATGGCTGCTCTAAGTCAGGACCACTTCATGGCAATGGGCTTCCCATTATAAGAAGGGTCTGCTTGTCCATCTGTAAGTGGACCCCTTGGATGTCAGGGAGGACTGCTTTGGGATGTCACACAGCACATGTGAGCCTGCACCCCAAGTGCCCCAGTTCTTACTGGGGGCCCAGCCCCTGTGCCCCGAGCTGTTGTCCCCAGAGAAGTGAGAACAGAGAGCGCTTCTGCCCTCGCTTCCTGTGGTTCCGTGGGAACCACCGGCTGGCCCCTCCTGCTTCCGAGGTTGGTCGCACAGTCCTTCCTGTTTGACAAGACGCAGCACTGAGCTGAGTGTGCTCAGACGCTTAGCTCTATGGACGCAGTCTCTGCCGGTCTCAGAAACCCACAGGGCACTTCTGCCCGGTGAGTCATAATGGGCACCACGGAAGTGAGTTCGGCGTGGGGGGTTTATGCCAAGAAATCTGGCCAACCGGCGGGAAGAGATCGGTATGTGTGCCCTTTCCAGAGAAAGGTGACCCCCCTGAAGCAGGAATTACGGAACAGTATGATTGATATCACACATACAGAAGATGTTTCTGAAGATCACCCGGCATCCATTACAGCAGTACATTGACAGGGAGCTGCCAGCGGCTCTGGCGGGATTTGAAGGAGGACGTGGAACAAGGAAGGTCATGGCCCTCCTGGTAGCGAGGAGAGAAGACCAGCAAGGTGTCTGCTTGTGTTTTATTGACTGTACAAGGGCCTTCGACTGCGTGGCTCATCACAAACTACGGATAACCTTGGAAAGAATGGGAATCCCAGGACAGTGCAGTTTGCTCCTTCAGGACCTGGATCAGGAGGCAGTGGCGAAAGCCGAGCAAGGCGGGTAGAACCTGGTTTAAAATCAGGAGAGGTGTGTGCCGCAAGGGCGGTATCCTCTCGCCCTACCTGCTCACTCTGCGTGCTGACAGAGCAGCTGGACCCTGTGAAGAACATGGCCCAGAATCGGTGGGAGATGCAGTCACAAGATGCAGATGGCACCACCTTGGTTGCCGAAAGAGAGGAGGACTCGAAGCGCTGGCTGGTGGACGTCAAAGGATGGCAGCCCTCGGGATGGATGACAACTCAATGCGAAGAAGACCAACATCCTCACAACCGACCGGTGAATAGTGCCAGATAAACGGAGTCCAGACCGAAGTTGTCCGACACTTCATTTCACGTGGATCTACGGCCAGTGGTCGTCGGCCCTACCGGACATTGAAATGGAGGCAGAGGGCCTCGCCTTTCTCCGGGAGCTTGGTGGATTCAAACGGCTGACCTTTCAGTGAGCAGTCGGTCCGACAGGTAGCCCCTCCGCCACCAGGACTTTTGCAAGGAAGCAGCAGTCAAAAATTCAGATGACACGCCGCACTGCGTAAATATGCCAACCTCTCCAAGTGTGGACACAAGGCTGTCACTGTGAGGACTGAGGTGCGCCTGGCCCCGCCTCATACGCGGTGGATGGTGGACATTGACCCAGGACCCCCACACGTGCATCACAGGGCTGGTAAAGAACAGTGGCAATACCGTGCAGTCAGAGCAACAAACCAATCCGTCCGGGAGAAAGGACCGCGGGATATTCTTTTTCTTTCTCTCTTTTTTTTTACCCAACAGTTTTCCTGGCACATAATTTATATATCACATAATTCAATCGTTCACTCACATCAAGGAGGCTTATACAATCACTGCCACATCAATCTTAGAACATCCCCCACCCCGTGGCTAAGTCACCTTTAAAATGAGTTGTGCTCCTCCCCCTCCCGCCTTTACTATTTATTCCTGAAATCCCGTTTGCCACCTTATCTCCCACCCCCGCCCCTGCATCCCCCATCAGCCCCTGCAACAGTTACTATCACTAAGCATCCAATCCAACTGTGCTTCACACACTGGGAACCCAACAGAAACGACAAAAACAATCGAAGGAAAGTGGTAAGGGTAAAATAATGTAGAGACAAAAATATAAATAATGAGTAAGAAAGGAAAAAAAACCCACCAACATTCCAAAAACCAGGGAATAAGTTTCTGTTGGAACACGTAAGAGATACTTGCACCCAGAACAGATTCAGGTCGGGTCCTTAGTGAGGTCAGTTGGTCAAGGATGGAGCTCAGTCCAGCACAGTCAAGATTACAGTGGTCTCTGCCTCACGGTAAGGCTGTCGGAGTGGATCTGCCAGTGGCTCAGTCTGGCTAGAAACTCTGCAGATGGGTTTTGGGCTCCCACTGCCCTCCACAGCTTTCTACAAATTGGGTGTCCACAACTGTAGCTCTGATACGTTCCCCTTCGCCACATCTGGATTTTGTCCTTGGCGTCTTTGGATCCCACGAGCTGGTGTGCTGCTTCCGTGTGGACTTAGTTGACTCCTCACTCAGCTGCTGGTTTGAGTCAAGCCTCAAAGACCCCGGTCACCGTTCCGATAGAATAGTCTCTGTAAGCAAGGAGAGCAGGAACCCACCTCACGCACCTTGAACGTGTGGTCGGGAGCAGTAGCCCTTTGGGGAAGGGCTCCCTTCTTGGTGGACGGAGGAGGGTGAGAGCAGTAGAGGAAGCCCCTCGATGAGATGGACCGGCGCAGTGGCAGCAGGAGGGGCTCCAGCAGGTGGGCGGTGCTTCGCTCTGTTGTGAGTCAGAGGACAGGGTGCCGTTGGCAGCGGGAACAACCGAGAAACCTGGGGTTCACTTTCGTTCCCTCGAACCCTGTGTGTGTGAGTCCCAGGGATCTGAAAACAAGCTCAGCATGGGGACTTAAGCGAACCAAGAATGAGAGTCCCTGCAGGCGGTTTTCCTTGCGTGTGAGGCCTCCTTACCGGATCCTTCAGCTTGGTGGGGCGTGCCCAGCGTCTTCTGGGACCTGCGTGGGCTGTCACGTGACCTGGGCAGGTTACATGAAGTCTGTACACATGTTATGTAGTGTTGTGTTCAGAAATGGAACCAGAAGAAAAGGAGTCCTGCCCGCCTGCACTGCGTGTCCTTCCTCTGAGCGGCCTTCTGCTGCCCAGCCCGCTGTCTCAGGGACTCCGACTCAGGGCGCCGGCGTGGCTCAGGGACTCCGACTCAGGATGCCGGGTGTCTCAGGGACTCCGACTCAGGATGCCGG